GTCCTCATATCAGTATGGGAAAGAGGGCATCATCACGTGAAATACTAAATAGAATCCCTGGAGGGGACCTCAGTAATACTTTTTCCCCCTCGACCCCTACAATAATGTAAGTTTTAAATGACTGTATAAAACATGGCATAATACAATATGTGAAGATTGCCAGTTGTCATAACTAATATTTTCAGACCACTTATTTGTACCAGGACCTTTACTAAGTGCTTTGAATTATCTCATTTAAATCTCAATATAATCCTATGAGATACTCTTATTATGGACATTGTACACATGAGGAAATGGAGACCGTTTTGGGGAGGTTCCCTTTCTAGTTAGAGTCCACACCAGGCAGTCTGACGCAGAATCATGATGCTCCCAGCTAAAAAGTGGTTGGAGTTTGGCATGGAGTTGGTTTGGGAACGCATACAGGATCTCAGCACAGAAACTCAAGAAATACAGCATTCTGAAGAAGTTAGAGAATGTTTGTGATGAAGGTATGGCCTCTAATTGCCTCTCCCCACTCCCACATGGGCTTTTGTGAGAGAACCAGACACGAGCCAATGACATTTGCCATATCATTTTCTTCAGCTTTCCCAGCACTCCAAACCAAAGCAGAACTAAAATTCTCAATAGTGACAACGTCCAAAGGCAGTACACCACTTCCACTGCCACCACATTGGTGGAGTAGGCTGTAGTCAAGAAGAACATGAAAAGTCATTGTTTTCTTGAAAACTCTTTCAAGACAACCTGAGGAGAAAGCTCCCTTTAATGACAGAAACAGGGATGTGGTACACGCCATCACAGTCCTTGGGTAATGACTATGTGTCATAAATAAGATATGGCATTTCTGAATGACTTTAAAGCTATTTCCTTTTGTTCAACTAATTTAATTTACCAAATGCTCCTGGAGAAAGGGAGGGGGACCAAGATGCTGACTCTGCATTTCCTGGAAAATCAACATTTTCTTTGTAAACTGTCCTCAGAGAAATTCTGTCTGATTGTTGTCTGCTGGCTCCCTCAAACCCTACCTCTGTCAAAATTCTGCCCTGGCGGGTGTGAGAAAGAATAGATGCAGAACTTGAGTGAATACCCACATCTGTTTTGTTTTTGTTTTTGTTTTTAACATCTTTATTGGAGTATAATTGCTTTACAATGGTGTGTTAGTTTCTGCTTTATAACAAAGTGAATCAGTTATACATATACATATACATCTGTTTTTGGAAAAAAGGAACAGAAGCAGCACAGAAGGAAGTAAAAGAGATAATTGCTGGCTTGAACTACAATACATTTTACTTGTGGGCAGAGGGCCAGCTTACAGCAGGCGGAATATGCAGGCCCATCTTATTGGAATTCAGGGGTGGGCCTCCATTCTTGTCCGGAGACAGCTGTAAACCAGCAGCCCATAGCATCACAATCAGGCACCAGGTTTTGTCAAGGAATGCTGATATGTACAGAAGCAGCTTTGTCTGCTTCAGCTGCACCCCTGCCTAGTGAAATGACAGTCTTCTGATTCCAGATGACAAGAACTGGATAAAAACTTAAAACAAATGGCGACCTTTCAAAAGATTAATTTGTTTACCAACAAAATGTTCCCTCTTTGTCATCCAAGATGGGGGTGACCTTCACTTTCCCATATCTAGGCTGAAAGGATGCTAAGTCATCTGTTAACTCCATCTCAGCAATTATTCCCTTTTTTATTTTTAGTGACAAGAAGCGTTTATTAATTCACTCTGCTTCTCATTATGGTTTATAAATGCAACAAGCTCATTCTGAATTACTGCAGTGTAACATCAATTTGTTTAAATCTAATTCTGCTACTGTTGCCAAATTATGTTGTGACTGTAATTGTGGCCATATGCGTGGGCTTAAAACACAATCATGTTGTGAAATCGTCCTTCTTTCTCCCCTCTTGCTACTTACCCCCACCTCTTACTTCTGGTGCTTCTTCTAAGCATTTGACACTAACACAATTGCCTCACTTTCCATTACTTTATCACTTCAGAAATGAATGTGCTTTCAGTGAGAGAGATTACTATGTACACCCCAAGTGAAACAGTAAAGACTGAAACTATGATTTGTGAAGTATGGCTGCTACCCAACTAAGTTAGTGAAAAACGCTGCATAACATATGACTCATAAAATCTAGAAATCATAAAAGTATTAAATTCAACCTCATGAATAAATAAAAGATTCTAAGTTTACATTGCATTATATATTTATTTATTTGGAAAGTGGGGCCGAAGAACTGGTATAATTCTGCAGCAACTCATATGTTGCCAAAAAGAAAAATGTTTTTATGATTCTTTTCTAGGTCATAACAGTTATAATCAGAGTTATTTGTGCAGCAATTCAGAGCAATGTTTTGTTTGGCTTTTTTATTATGCATTCATAATCGTTCTTTTAAAATTCATGGTAACAGATACATGTTTCAAGCCTTTTAAGAAACCCTTCTTATTTAAAAAAAATAAATCAAAGTCAAATTTTCTGTAGCTCTTTTAACGTGTTGCATTAGAAAGTCTAACTGGAACTAAATGTCAGTGAGTAAGTATGAAGGTGTCAGAGATTTCTTCTTGTCTATCCAAACCTATAAGGCTCTACTCAAGAACATGTTAGAGGGTTTTTGTTTTTGTTTCTAATTTGGCAGATTTAAGATATTGAAAAAATCAGTGACTTTAACTTTTAATACTTTTTTTTGTAAATTGCTTTTACACAAAAGAATTACAGGATATACAATTCTGAAGGCAGTTTTGTGGTGTGTGTGTGTGTGTGTGTGTGTGTGTGTGTGTGTAGAATCTGTGTTTTCAATGCACTAAAATCTTTGCATAGGCCCATATTGTCAGAAAGGATACACCTATTCATAAAATGGAGAAAATATCAGTTTCTGAGAACTAGTAATGTAAATTAGCAACAAATTCAAATTTTCTCTGTCAAAAATGTCTAAGGTTATTTACAGGCTTTTGACAAGCTGTTCAAGTTTCATAAGAAGTAAGGAAACACATGGCCCTCAGCAGCCAAATAATAATCCCCTTTGAGTGTTTAGAGTAGTTATAAAAAGCAATAAGCCCTGATGCTGCTTTTCTAATTAACTATACATCACAACACTAGACACATTGCTTCAGTTTGGGCAAGTGCTTTCAAAAACATTTTTATAAGTGGTAAATCACAACTGTATTTATTCCCAAATACTCCACATGATTGTTTAAAGCCAAACACTGGAATATTTCTTTCACAGGATTTTTTGCACAATGCTTGTTTTACAAATCTAAAATGAAAACATGTTTTTCACTTAGTACCATCATATATACATATATCAACATAAAATGATAGGGTCAACTATTTTGATTGAAATGCCAATAGTTTGGGCAAGATGTACATAATGTACATACATTTTAAAGTGCTCTGGTATAGATTTTTATGGAGTCAAGTTTCATGGGGAAAAACGGATCTTAAATACAATAAATGAGTATACATTATCTATGTCATACAAGGCCAAGTGCTTTCCCAAATCCTCTGTGTTCAAAGGACAGGGGTACAATATCCAAGGAATTCATCCTATTTGGGAATTTGAAAAAATATATAATAAATAACTAAGATTCTGCTCCAAATTTCAGATGTAATTTTGAATTCCCTATTTATGTCAGAATCTTTACTCAGATTCATTAAAGCAAAGCTTAATCCCCCTAGACCTAGAGGTATGCCTTTTTAAACTTCAATACTCATCAGAAAAAGTTTGCATGAAATGCTGCAGTTGCCTTGGGCTACAAAGCCTCAGCGCTCCACCAGCTAAGCCAATATTAATTCTAGATTGAAGGGGAAAACCAACAACAACAAAAGAGAAATCTGCTTCTGTCTGTACGGCCAGAGAAATAATATTTTTATTTCAAGGGCTTTGGGCTCACGGGAAGCAGATAAAAACCCTTTCACATTATTCACAGTGACATTTTAAATAAAGTTTCAGCAGG